TTTCAAAAAAAAATTTTAAAGGGAATTCAAAATATTTTAATATTTTAAAGAAAAAAATGTACATTAGCTAAAATATGGATTTAAATGAAGAATTTAATTCAGTAAATTTATATTATTTTTTCTTTCAGGATTTTTACAATCTGAGATTGTTACAGTTACCATCTTCGATTGTAACAGTTATAATTTATAATAATTACAATTATTATTTTTGATAGTAATCGTTACCATTATTAATAGTAACTATTACAATTATCAATGATACCACCTATTATTTTGTTACTAATTAATTTTATTACCATTTTAGATAGTAGGAGTTACTATTTTTGTGTAGTAGGTAGTATAATTAATTTTTCTCCGTGATACAATAAGAATTCGCACTGTTAGTCTTTTTTGTTTCTCGCGCAAGTCTGGGTCAAACTTCTTGGACCAACAATCTGGACAAAATCCGGCTACAGACTTGTCACTAAACTTGACCAAGTATTGCTCTAGATTCTATTTTAAAATCTTGTCCAAGTCTATGGCCAGCTTGGACAAATAATCTTGGTTAACTGTTTGGCTTAAGAATTGTCCGATTCTATTTCCGGGACTTGGTCAATTATCTGGCCAAAGAATCTTGTCCAAAACCAATGTTACTAGGGAACATAAGGGCCTTAAATTTACTGAGCGTAGAGTATCAAATTTTTTTTTCATCTAGAGCATATTAAATATTACATGTATATTTGTATCTAAAATTTATTCATGTTAAAATTTATTCAACATGATTCAAGAAAACAAATTTTGAACTAAGAACATTATTTTGAAGAAAATGTGTTTCTTGAGTAAGGAGAAAAAAATTCTCAAGCCAAGAAATTATTCTGTAATATTTTATAATACTCTGAATCAAATGCAAGTAATATTATATATTTAAAAGTGGCGATTTGCAGAATTTCCGTTTCTCATTCAAACAAAAAAATATTTTTTTTTCTAACTTTGAAATACTGTATCTTGATAATAAATCTCCGTACAAGGATGATCAAGGTATGTTTTATGTAGGAGGTCGAAGGCTCCATAAAAAGGTCCGAATGAAGATTTATGTAAGTTGAGTCGTTTCAGAGATACAAAGCTTAAAAAATTGCTCTTTTCGAAATATTATAAAGTTACTTACTCTCAAACGGTACTAAATCCGTCTACATCACTTAAGGTAGTTGTAGCGTGAAAGGCATTTCAACAGAAAGTTATGAAATTTTTTTTATCGAAAGATAAATATATTAATAATTCACTACCAAAATTTCAGATCAATTGACCGCACTGTTTTCGAGTAATTAATTTTCGAAATCGCATCTTTTACACGTAGAGGTATAGAGAGATGGTAATGTTAGTATGAAATCTTCCGTACCACTCAAGTGGGCCAAAGATTTCATTAATTTTAAAATGAATATATTTAATACTGATTTGCGCATGTAAGAAGATTAATTATAATTTAATTTAGTTCCTCCGTAGTATATTGTGTGGTCAGAGCATTTACTATAGTCGGAGGGTTAATACTAATGTTAAATCATTATTTACCATTGAAATACCATATCAAAATGACCAACTTCTCGCTATATATGTACGAGCTTAAAACGTTCGAGAAATTATCTATTTTGAAGTTTTGAGCTCTTTGAGCTCAAAAACACAACTTTTATACTTTAGTGGTTGTTGAAAACATACTTTTTTGAAAATTTTGAATTGTGATATCTTCCGATCGAATCAATCCTTTTTTATGCGGAACTTGCAGCATTTGACGCAGTTTATTAAAGACAAAAAGATTATTTATTACCTACCAAACGATTCGTCGTAGAATTTTGAAAATTTTAAATTTTAAAAAATTAAATATCTCACGAACGAATCGATCGATTTTGATGAGATTGCTGGCGTTTGGCGCACAAAAAGATTATTTGTTACTCGCTGAATGATCCGAGATGTTTTGAAGATTTATAAAAAAATTAGGAAAATGGTTGACCCTAAAGGCCATCCCTGCAATTTCCCGCTAATTCCATACTTAAGCGCTCAAAATTGTACTTAATACGTTTTTGAGCTCTCCGAGCTCAAAAGTCTGATAGGAGTTTGATGAAACACTATTTTTTGAATTTTCAAACCACAATAACTTTTCAATGAATGAACTGATTTTCACGCGGTTGGCGGCATTCGACGCAGTTTTTTAAGCTACATAAATAAGCTTGAAGTTTGAATTGATCAAACTAGGAATTTCGGAGTAATTCCGAAAAAACAGTGTTTTTGATTATTTTTCGACAACGATAACTCACGAACGAATCACCCGATTTTGACCGGACTGGCAGAGATCGACGTGGTTTTTTGATGTTAAGAGCTGATTAATTTTTGGCATTGATCAGTAAAGCCGTTTAAAAGTTATTCCAAAAAAACCATATTTGGAAATTTTTTTTTTTGTAGTTTATTCGAGATTTCTTAAAATCTACGAGCTCGAATCGATCCAAATTGTAATCAAAATCTAAGTTTGGTCAAGCCTTTTCGAATGGCGCCAACCGCGATGAAATCGGTCGAGCCGTTCAAAAATTATAAGAGGGTCACAAACACACGCGTATACACACACATATATACAGACATAGTGACAAAATCGCGGGAATAGTTGAAAAACGTGGTAAAACCAATATTTTTTGATAATTATAATATTACAATTTTTTTATAATTAGAATATTGTTTTCTTAAGTTTAAAAAAAATTAAAGAATTTTTTTTTTCAAGTTTTACAATTTTTATTGAATTAATTAAAAGCCAAAAACTACAAATATCATTTTCTCAACTTGCGACACACATATTCATAGCCACAGAAACAAAACCGGGCTTGCATAGACATTTAAAGTCGTTGCAGTGTGTGTTTTCCGTCTTACATTGATCATCTCTCCAGCAATTTCCGCCCAGAGTCGGTAAGCAAGTCAGTTCATTGACAGCAATATGATTTGCATTGCAGACACATCTGTTCTGGGAACACTTTGAGTTCCACGATCCGCCACAATCAATTGTTTTGTCACAATAAAACAACGTAGAACCTACAGAACATTTTTTTGTAGCCTTTTTCACGACCGATTAATAAAATAGAATGTACTTACGTTTTGCACACATCGTATCAGTAACTGCCGCCCACTGAGGCATGCATTGACACTTATTTTCAAAGCAGTGCGACGCGTCGACGCCGCAATCGGCGGAAGACAAGCACTTGTTGTTCAACAAGTGGGTACAAGCTGACGGGGTCAATGCAAATGTGTCGGGCTTGCACACACAAATCTTGTCAATGCAAATTGCATTGAGTATGTTCTTACAATCACGATCTGTTGCACAGGCACCGCCTAACGTGGCTAAAAACATAATTTTTAGGAGTGTTGTGACCGAAAATGAGACTGCATTGATAACGAGTGTCAATGAAGCTCAAATTTAGTCTTTTACAAATTAAAATATTGCAATGCATACTCAGGAATCAATCAATGTAAAGTCTAGTGACAACAGTTGTCTGCATTGGCATCGAGTATCAATGCAGTCCAAGTAGGGTCATTAGCTCGAGATCAAGGTCACAAATCACATACTTGTAAGGTAAATAATTCGTGTATCGTTGGTGAAATTAGAGCTGCATTAACGCTCGATGTCAATACAGGCTAAATTTTTGTCGTTGATTCACAATTCAGGTTATAAGTCACGAACTTGGCAGACAATGTGAGGCACATTGAATAATTTGAACTGCATTGGCATTAGGTGTCAATGCAAATAAAATTGACTGGATTTAAAATTACGAATGGATCTTATACTAACCTAATACGCAATCATTGTAAAGCCCTGGGATAAAACCTTGGCTGCATTGACACTTATTGTCAACGCAGGCAGAATTATCATTGGTGCAGGTTGCGTCTACAACACAATATGCTCCCAGGATAGGAACACACGATTTACTGTCCAGGGTGATATAATGTTTATTACAAGTGCAGAATTGAAACCTTGAACAGTGTGTATTCATAATTTGACAGTCATCTATACTGTAGCAAATGACGTCAAGGCTAGCTGAAAGAATCGATAAAAAGTGACGATGCAATCGGTGTAATCGAAAAGATTCAGTACTTACTCGGCAGACACTGGGACTGAGTCTGCGGAATATAAGTCTCCAAGCATTGACACGTATTGTTAACACAGTTCGAATTGTAGACAGCACACTCCTTATGTTCCGTGCAGCTTGCGCCAATCAGGGGCAAGCACTTCTCCCAGTCGAATTTTGTGTACCCTTGCCTGCATTGACATTTTTTGTTGAAACACCCACCGTTTAATATTTTATTACAATCGTCGTGTATGTCACACTTCTGACCCAGGAACACTGTAAGGATTCGCTCAGAAAATTATCAATTTTCAACAAACGAGAATTGTTTTTCGCTAAACCAGGCGAGGTAGAATTCTACTGCATCGTCACTCAGTCAATTCAGTTGATATTTCGAGTATCAAAACACAATCTTGGTCAGTCTCAGGAACTTACCAGGTACGCAGAGATCATCAGAGCGCTGCGTGTATTCTGCGGAGCAGCGACATCGGTTTCCGGAACACTCTGCATTGACAGTGACACACTCCCTGTTGTTTGCGCAGTAACCTCCTAAAGTTGGCGAACAAGTTGTTGGGTCAGTTCGCACGTAATTCTGATGGCAGATGCATTTTCCAGCGTCAGAACACTTTGCAAAGGGAATTTCAATGCAGTCCTTGTCAATTCTGCATCGCTGTTCCAGGTACGCTAAAAACAAGCAAATTAGCAAAAAATCTCAGCTGACGTCTACGACTTACTTAAGACACACGTGTAGTTGGACTTCGGGAAGTAACTGAACTCGCATTGACAGTTATGATCAATGCAGACCGAATTCGCGGGAACGCAATCCTGGTCTTTGGAGCAGATGGCGTTGAGCAATGGAGAGCATGTGAATGGATTTATTTCAACATAGTTGTCCTTGCAACTGCATTGATTCTCAAAGCAATGCGCGTTTCTTATCAGATTGCAAGTGCTTATGTCAAAACAAGTCGCCCTTAGTTCCGCTGAAATTATTTTCAAGTCAGATGATAATTTTGTTAATCAGATAAAATTATTGTTACTCACTTGCAACGCATTGACTCTTGGAATATTGTATGTAATCTCGACTGCATTGACAAGTTTGTTCAAAACAATGAGAGAATCTGACAGCACAATCTTTATCGGTAATACAGCTTCCACCAAGAGCTTTTGCGCAGGCTGTTGCATTGACACTAAAGAATTCGTTTGGACAAGCGCATTCGTTTTTTAAACACACCGCAAAAGTCACTTCAGAGCAGTCTGAATTTTGACTGCATTGTCCCGTCAATTGTTCTGCATTGACAATGTTAGTATAAGTTCGACTAAATTATGAAAATATTATTTTTTAAGTCCTTACGTGGCAAACATTTTGACTCCCGCATCACATAGCTGGTCCTGCATTTACACCGATTGTCAATACAAATAGAATTAAGGTCCGAGCATACATCGGTTGTTGAACAATACGAGGTTGCCACTGGGAAGCATGCATTTCCGTTCGTCAGCAAGTAATTTCGTTTACATTGACAGGTTCCGTCAATGCAGTATGAGTCACTGATATGAGCACGACAGTGACTTTCTGCATTGCAAGGTATTGCTATGAAGGCTGCAGAAAAATAAGCCATAAGCAATAATTGCCTCATTGCATTGACTCTCAAGATCAATGCATCTGGCATTTACAGTGAATGACATGTAAATATTGTTATTGCCAACTAAAACGGACAATATTAGACTGCATCGTCATTCGATGTCAATGCAGAAAATATTGCTCGTGTCAATACAGTAATTCACTCTAAAAAATCAAACTCACCGAGTCTACATTCAATCTCAGAGTAGGCAAAATGTTGATCTTTGCATTGACACTTATTGTCATCGCACCAAGATTTGACGGCAGCACAATCTTCGTTAGTTTGACAAGTTTCTCCCAAACGTACTGAGCACAACCTTCCATTGATTGCAATCGCGTTTTGTGAGCAGACACAACTTTTGTTTGAAGAACACTCTGCGAATTTGACACTTGCGCACGCTGCATCGTCACTGCATTTTGATCCAATTACAACTGCAAGTACAGATTAATGACTCTAGTGTCTCGGAATGTTAAATGTGACTCACCTGGCAGACACTCGTTGGCCTCGGCTAAGAATCCGTCTTTGCATTGACACTCATTATCAATGCACATTGAATTCTCCGTCATGCAGGTCTCGTTTTTCCAACAAAAGCCATTCAAGATTGGGGCGCAGGCGTAGTCGCTAACTCTAACGTTCTTTAGTCGACACACGCACATCTTTTTCGAACATACGGAGTGCGCAATGTCAATGCACTGAAATGGTTTTTGGCACGAGTCACCCAGTTTTGCTTTTTTTTTGCACTCGTATCTCCCGGCAGTATTTGACCGGTCGCACTTGAGACTTTCACCGCAGCAACGACGATTCTGGTCACACTGCAAAATAAATCAGTGTATTGACGATCTAAGTCAACACACTTTGGGTGGCCAAAGGTTATACTTACCGTTCCGCCAAATTCTACGCAGGTCGTTGGTGGATCGGTTTGCGCTGCATTGGCGCCCAAAATCAATGCAACCCCTGCTAAAACGATTACAGTAATCTGACGTGGCATTTTTTGAATAAAATCTTACCTGAGTCTTCAGTAGAAGAAGTCTGCAAGATAACTAAGTGGGAATTATCGAGACTGTAGTTAAAAGTAATGAAATAAAATTTATCACCGTCATTAGCTTCCGATTGAAGTAAATTATTAATAGCTTTTTTAGATTTATCATTAATACAATTAACGGAAAAAAAAGTTAATGCCGCTTATCTTTATTTAATACTTTTTTTTTTCAATTCTTCTAAATTCTATGAGGAAAAGTTTATTTCAAAAAGGGTTTAATTTTTTTTGTTTTTTGTTTGGATGATAATTTAGTAGATACTCCAACAAATTTTGGTTGAACAATTTTTAACATTATTTAATATATAATAAATATATAAATACATACGTATATAAACTTTTTAACCATATGTATTTTCTGACTCAGCTCGTCGAGTTGAGTCGGATTATAGCAAAATCTTTTAAAAGTTGCGTCATGAAGAGCCATGCAATAATTAGATTTCTATGAAATCTATTAAAAATGTCATTTATTGCAAAACTTGTGATTTTAAAACTTTGGCAATGTTTAGGAAATGACTAATTGGTGCTAGAGAAAAATTTTTGGGACAAAAATTGTAGTTAAAAATATCTGTTTTTAAAAAAATTTTGGCTAAATCCAGAATTTTTACTAGAAAAAAAGTGGTGGGGGTTTAAAGTTGAAGTGGGGAAAATTAACGAAAAAAATTAGGAAAACGGTTGACCCTGAAGGCCATCCCCGGGAAAAACGGATTAGATCTGGCCATATATAAACAGATTTGACCAGATCTGGTCAGATCTTTAACTTGCCCGGGTAAAAAAGATTATATGTAATTATATATACTCATACATAAGGGGCCGTTCATAAATTACGTCACGCAAAATATCGGTATTTTGGACCCCCTCCCCCCTTCCCTTCGTCACGCTTTTTCCCATCTTCTTAACATGTATGGTCACACTTGACAACACCCCCGCCCCCTCCCTCCCTCCTAAGTGCGAACGTATTTTATGAACGGCCCCTAATTATATACGAAAAATGGCCCTATATAATTATATAGAATTATTTCCATAAAAAAAAAAAAATCAGCGCGCGCGGGATTCGAACCTGGGACTTGACGCTTGAAAAACTAATTCATTACCTGTTTACCAACGAGGCTTACTTGAGGAGCAGAGTTTGTAATAACTACAAGTAATGTGAATCGTGTCCATAATCGATGCGTAATGAACAAAGTTTTTTTATCAAATTTGCAAATTATTAATTATCAATATACGCTGATAGAAAGATTTATATTTAATTTATTAAATTCTAATAAAAATTTTTTTAACATTCAATAAATATTTATTTGGGTGGAAAGTATATTTATTAAAATAGTTTATAAGTATTTATTAATAGTTAACAAATATAGTTATATCTGGCCAGATATAATAAAATCTTTTTATGTCTGATGTATTTTTCAACCCAGATATAGTTATATCTGTTTAGATCTGATCAGATATGACTAGATCTGATTACGTCTCCAATCCCATATCTGATCAGATATAAATAGATCTGACCAGATATAATTATATCTGGTCAGATCTAAACCTTTTTCCCCGGGTCCCTGCAACTTCCCGCTAATTCCGTTAATCCTGGGCCCTTAAAATTGTACTACGAATGTTTTGAGCTCATCGAGCTCAAAAATACAATCTGTGTGTTGTTTTGAGCTCTCCGAGTTTGATAGAAGTTTAATAAAACCATATTTTTTGAATTTTCAAACCGCCATAGCTTTTGAATGAATGAATCGATTTTCACGTGGTTGGCGGCATTCAACGCAGTTTTTGAAGCCTCATAAAGGACCCATATGTTTAAATTAATCGAACTAGGAATTTCGAAGTAATTCCGAAAAAACATTATTTTCGATTTTTTTTCGTTAACAATAACTCACGAACGAACGAATCAATCGATTTCGACCGCGTTGGCGGCGATCAACGTGGTTTTTTGATCTTAAGAGTTGATTAATTTTTGGAATCGATCGGTAAAGCCGTTTAAAAGTTAATCCAAGAAAACCACATTTGAAAAAAAAAATTTTCTGTAGTTTTTTTCGAGATTTCTTAGTATCTACCGGTTCGAATCGACCCAAATTGTATTCAAAATCTAAGTTTTGAACTTAAGGAAGTTAAAAAGTTTAGTTAGTTAAAAAGATACACAAGTTTAAAAGTTATTCCTCAAAGGAATAGCATAAATTGTAGATGGTGAATATACTATTTTATGCTGCTAATAGAAAAATATCGAAATGCTTTACAATGCTTACTTGAATCATTAGGTTTTTGGAAGTTATTCTACATTAAAATGACATAGCTGAGACGACTGACCAAGCTTCCTCACAACCATCCAGGTTAAAACGACTAGTGCTGAAACTAAATTCGGTCATAACAACTCATGCGGAAACAACTCCAGGCTAAAGACTGCAAGCTCGAGTAAAATCCGCTCTGCTATGTGCCTTGTCAAAATTCTAAGCAGTCACTTGCATTGTAAACTGCCTCGAGAAACGTCGCTATGATCTAGTTAACTCGTGAGTTACTCCCTTTGAGAAACTGAATATGACCTAATGATATTATGTATTATTATTCTAAGGAATTAATTAAATAGTTTAAATAATGGATGCAACGTCGCAACATTATATACCATTGTGTAGAGATCTTACTTGCACACACTCGGAAAAAAGTGCTGTAAAAATCGTATCAGGTTATACAAAAATTGTATCACCTATGGTGTCAATCGAGTTGATTTAAAATTTGCACTACCCTGTGATACTGAATCTGTACCTAATGCATTTTTAAATGAAACTAATTTGAACATAGAGTATAATATGTACTTGGATTGAAAAGTATAGTTGGTTTGCGCTTGTGCTAGACGCACTGATGTGAAATTCGTACCACAGTGATTCAATTTTTGTATCGCCTGGGATTCTGAAATTGAACCGCTCTTGAAATGCAATTATAGTATCACTTGTGGTGGAATTTATAAACAAATATTTTTTCCGTGCATAAATTTACTGGAGATAATCTGTTTCTATTTTTTTGCAGCTTGTCAAAAAAATATAAATTAAAAAAAATTATTTTTCAATTTTTAATAATAGATTTCTTTAAAATTCTATCTATTAAATTTAGTTTCATGGCAGAGCTCAAAAATACAGTGAGAAAAAAAATTTCTTTTTTAAAAAAATGAGCTTTATTACGACAAGAAATTAATTTGTTTGAAATTATCAACAATGTTATAGAGAAAAAAAAATTAGTAAAACGGTTCAACCTAAAGGCCATCCCTGCAACGTCCCCCTAATTCCATACCTGGGCGCTTGAAATTGTACTTATGACGCTTTTGAGATTTTTGAGCTCAAAATATAATTTATGTGATATTTTGAGCTTGCAGAGCTAAAAGAGATAGTATTTCTATGCATTTGAGCTCTTCGAGCTCAAAAGTCTGATAGAAGTTTCATAGAACACTACTTTTGGAATTTTCAAACCGCAATAACTTTTGAATGGATCAACTGATTTTCACGCGGTTGGTGGCATTCGACGCAGTTTTATCAGTCTCATAAAAAATTTTCAGGTTTCAATTGATCGAACCAAAAATTTCGGAGTAATTTCGAAAAAACACTTTTTTCGGTTTTATTTCGTTCACGATATCTCTCGAACGAATTAACCGATTTCGACCAGCTTGGTGGCGATCGACGTGGTTTTTTGATGTTAAGAGCTGATTAGTTTTTGGAATTGATCGATAGAGCCGTTTAAAAGTTATAATATCTACTTATTAATATAAGTAGATGTACACCGAGAAAACACTTAAATTAAACCATCTTTTACTTTCTGAAATCATTTCATGTTGCTATTATGAAGAAAAAAAAACGTTTTGAAAGAAATTTTACGTGGACGTCCTGATGTCACCCCATTTTGGATGTACCAACGATTACTCCCGAACAAATTGATATTTCAAGACCGGACCTTTTTTATTAGTTTAAGAATTCGATGAACTGGGTCCATATTTCATATCAGTAGCCTAGTTTACGTATTTTTTTTTAAATTGAATTTTTATTAAAATTCACTACGATACAACCGTAAAAAGACACTGATAGAAGGATTTATTTGTATTAAAAAATATTTGTTAATAGTTAACAAATCATTTATTAGAGACCAATTTTTAGTATTAAACAAATATTTCTTAGTATTTAAAATGATTTGTTTGTATTTAATAAATCTAATATTCATTTATTAAATATTAATAAATCTTTTTAAATACTAAGAAATATTTGTTTAATACTAAAAATTGGTCTCTAATAAATGATTTGTTAAATATTAACAAATATTTTTAACTATAAACAAATCCTTCTATCAGTGCAAGTCGCTCTTTTTTTGCTTACTTAATTTTCGCTTTCTATATGACCGCTTTTCGCTTCCTAAATAATTTTCTTTGCTTAATTTGATTGCATTTAATTTATTTAGTGTGTTTCAGATAACTTACAATTATTTGTGCAGTAATTACCGCTTTTTACAGTGCCGGCAGTTTTCTCAACCACGTGTCAACCGGCTTCGCTTTTGCTAACCACGCTGTGTATTATAAATCCGCTTTTATCTAAGCAATCCGCTATTGAACAAGTTAAATATTTAGTGTATTTATTGTTAATAAATATCTAGAGTTAATTTTAATAATAATAATTTTTGTATTTTGAGATATCCAGATCTAAACCTGATCCTTAGTTTTTCCGCTCTTTCAGCATTTTACATTTGGTTTTACAATATTACAACCAGTGTAATATACTATTTCTTCCATTTTTTCTTGCACACGACTGAGTCTGGTGCCGAAAACGAACCAGTCGAGTTTCATTTTTTCCGTGTACGAGGATGTCACTGCGTGTGTTTGTGTGTATGTCATCGAAATCGGTTAATGCGTTGAAGAGAAACCGTTAACGAAAAATTAAAAAAAAAGTGTTTTTTCAAAAAACTTCGAAATTTTTTTTTAA